GATTTGAATTGTATCTTTCATAGCCATTCCTTTGCATGAAGTTATCGAACTTCTTGTACCACTGTCTCGAAGCATGTTTCAAACCGTACAAGCTCTTCTTGAGCCTACACACCATCTCTTCCTTTCTTTTATTAATAAAACCAACAGGATGCTTTATGTAGATTTTTTCATCTAAGTCACCGTGAAGAAAGACAGTCTTCATATCAAACTGCTCAAGATAGAGATTTTTAGTAGCTACTAAACTTAACACCACTCTGATTGTTATTAGCTTCATGACGAGAAAAAATATCTCCATATAATCCACTCATTCTCACTGTTGGAATCCTTTCATGACTAATCTAGCCTTATACCTCTTACTTCCATCACTCTCCTGCTTGACCTGGTAGACCCACTTGTTGTGTAAGGCTTTCTTTTGTGCAGGTAGCTGGGCTAACTCCCATGTCTCATTCAAGTGGAGAGAATCCATCTCTTCTTACATCGCTTGCTCCCATTGCTGAGATTCACTAACTTGCATTGACTCCTCATAACACTTTAGTTCTTTGCTATCTGTCAAAAGCAAAGAAAGATATTTAGAATTCGGTTTGGGTATCCTGTATGACCTCCTAAGCTACACGAGCCTGGGTGGTACTCTCTGCACCTGGAGTCTCCTTCATTTTTTGGTCAGAGCTGACATTATCTCCCCTATCTGGAAGTTCATCTAAATCCATATACTCGGATCCACCTGCATCCTTAGTGTTGTTCCCACTGCTTTGGCTATCCTTGGCATTATCTTTGTCCTTGTACATCACCTCTTCATTGAATATGGTGTCTCGGCTCCTAATAATTTTCCTGTTCTTCTCATCCTACAGATGATATTCGAACTCATCAATGTCGTATCGAATGAATATACATTTATGTGACTTAGCTTCTAGCTTATCCCTGACATGGTCACTGATATGAACATATGCCACACAACCAAAGACTCTCAAGTGTGAGAGATTAACCTTCTTGTCACTCCAAACCTCTTCTGGAATCCTAAAGTCTAGTGGGACTAAAGGCCCATGCTTAATTAAGTACGCTGTTGTATGCACCATGTCCGTCCAAAATATTTTTGGTAGACCTGCATGTAGACGTATGCTCCTCGCACGCTCTGTCAATATTCTATTCATTCTCTCTACAACACCATTCTGTTGTGGTATTTCTGAAGTAGTCCTCTCTAAACGAATCTCATTCAGAGCACAAAACTTCTTGAACTCCTCTAGCTCATATTCTCCATTATTGTCTGATCTCAGACACTTTACCTTCAGATCTGATTCGTTCTCCACCATGGCTTTCCACTTCTTAAAGATTCCAAACACCTCTAACTTGTGCTTCATGAAGTATACCCGTACCTTCCTTGAGTGATCATCGATAAAGGTGAAATAGTATGTCGAACTGCTATGAGAAGACACGCTAGCTGAACCTCATATATCTGTATGAACAAGATCCAGCTTCTAAGCTTTGGGTGGTCTTCCAATATTCTGAAAGCTGACTCTCTTCTGCTTCCCATAGATGCAGTCTTTGCAAACACCAACTTTAACTAAATCGATGCCTATTAGCTTTTCTTGAGAGTGTAGAATCTTCATACTCTTCTCGCTCATGTGTCCTAATCTATTGTGCTACAAATCTGTACTCTCCTTGCCCGCTGCAATTACGAGGGTGTCACTCGTATGTGAAGTTAGGTAGAGTGTTTCGGTCTTGTTACCACGAGCAACCATCATAGTACCGTTGAAGATTTTTCATGAATCCCCGAATATTGTAATATAGTCTTCTGCTCTAAGCTAGTCAACTGAATCAATATTCCTTTTTAGCTTCGATACATGTCTGGCATTCTTCAGATTCTACTTAGAGCTCTTCATCTGTATCTGCACATCACCTCTTCTAACAATACTGCAAGGCTCGTTGTACCCCAAGTATAATTTTCCAAAGTTTCCTGCTACATAGTTTTTCAGAAGCTTCTTATTAGTAGTGGCGTGAAATGATGCTCCCGAATCAATAACACATGAATCGGAATTGCTTTCCATAGCAAGGATCAAGACATCTTGCACAATATGAGCCTCCTGCTCATTTGCATCCTTCTTTGGTGCTTTACAGGATGAAGACATATGGCTCTCTTGTCCGTAGTTCCAACACTTCCCTTTGATTAGTCTCACCTTCGGGTTTGACCTCTTCTTCTTTGACTTCGACCAATTTCTGTTCTGGTTACCCTTCTTCTGACTTCGGCCTCTCTGCTCGAGATTTAGGGCTAAACCTGAACTCTCTGACTCGGACGATTTTCTTCTAACCTCCTCGGATAGAATCATGCTGATAATCTCGCTTAGCTTTAACTTCTCCTTTCCCGTCGAGTTGCTGATTGCGGTCATGCAACCTGCTCAACTATCTAGCAACTGCGATAGTATCAATAGGGTCTGCACTTCATCATCAAACGTGATGTTGACGGAGATAAGTTGATCAACAATCATGTTGAACTCGCTAAGATGCATCGTGAAGGAGCATCCTTCTACCATCTTGAGCTTAAATAGCATTTTGACGAGATGCACCTTATTTGCAGCTGACGATTGCTCGTACATCTTCGCGAGCGCTTCCATAAGCCCCACCGTCATCTTCTCCTTCAATATATTATGGGTGACAGATTTGGCTAGCGATAATCGGATCTTCCCTAGAGCCTTCCGATCCAATATTTCTCAGTCCTCGTCGGTCTCATCTTTCTTCTTTCCTTTTGCTTTACCCATCAACGGACGAGAAAGATCCTTCTGGTACCAATAGTCCTCCATCTGTGACTTCCAGTAGGCGAAGTCTGATCCGTCAAACTTCTCAATCTTTGATTTGCCTTCTTCTGCCATAGCTCTCACACAGATCTAATATGAACGATGCTCTGATACCAGTTGTTGGGGAGGATTTTTTCCAATCGGACAACCTATCAATGAACCCTCATGCAGGGTGCCCTTCGGATCTTATGTCGAAAGTATGCAAGAAGAAATCATAGCAAATAAAAAATACTTGCAAGAAAAAGAATAGAAGAGAGAACACCAGATTTAACGAGGTTCGGCAAACGTGCCTACATCCTCGGGAGCCACACAAAAAACTTCTTTAATTATTGAAAAAGATTACAAAAGTTTGCAAAGAGATGATCTCAATCTCCCTGATATCTCTCTGCTCAAAACAACATTTTATAAAAAATCACTCAAGAAAATCGTGTGAAAATCGACGGCCAGGGTTCTCTATTTATAGGGAAACCCTAGGTCAAAACAGATTAGGAATCTATTTTGACTGCGAAGTTTGCCTGTCTGCGAAGTTCGCCTGTCTGCGAAGTTCTTGCCCGACTGCGAAGCTCTCCTGTCTGCGAAGTTCTCCTGTCTGTGAAGCTCGTCTATCTGCGAAGCTCGCCTGACTTATGTTCGTCTGACTTATAGGTTCGCCTAAACTACAAGTTTGCCTTCACTATAGGTTCGCCTAAACTGCAAGTTTGCCTTCACTATAGGTTCGCCTGAACTGAGGACTTAGAGAAATTTCTGCTTGTTCCGAGGTTTGAGTCTACACACCCGAAACCAATAGTCCTTTTTAATAATTTTTAAGGTAATTTTCAAAAATCTAATTAGGACTAGTGTTATAGATCCAATTAATTTAATTTAATAGCTAGTGTTGCTCGAGAAGGATAGTTTGGTCATTTTACCCGTTTCTCTAGCACCATTAGGGGGTT